CTCTCTCTCTCTCTCTCTCTCTCTCTCTCTCTCTCAACGATATACAATGTAATGCATATAAATGAGCGTAACGTCAAAGAGTGTGACAAATGATTGGCTGAAAGCATCAAAAACGTTAATTTCCGACTGAATGACCAAAACTAGTAGTGATATATAAAAATGGATTACAGTTTTTGTTCATTATTTAAATGACAATTTCAATCGCTTGTGATTGCATTTCATAATCTCCTCAATAATAAAAGGCTAATAGCCTGAGAGAGTGTGCTATTAATGCTGACCTAAATTATATGATAAAATGACATAAAACTTATTTGTCATAAATTAAGTACTAATAAGTCATTTCTTATTGGATTAGTGATCAATGAATGCATTCATTCAATACAGATATTAAATGTGTTTTCATATGAATTTCGCTTATTTAGTCGATTAATGTAATAATGCATTCAAATTAGAGATAGACAAACAAAATGATCATAACCATTTAATGTATGATAAATGCTAAATTATAGTTCATTACCTATAATTGTGATAATTGTATACATTGTATACAAATATAGTAATTGTTAGGGGAGTTGAAGAATGTCAAGTGAATACAAGTACAGTATATGTTATTTTTTGATAAAAGAAATATTTACAGAATTGTTGTTTAGAATCGAGAATTCTTTGGATCGATTGTAAGCTATAATTCTGATAAAAGATTTCCTTTTGATGATAGGCTTAAAGCCTAGGAATAAATGACATTTTATGAAAACTTAGCGCATAATTGAGAGGCGTTTGTGTTAGTATTGAGGGTTAACTAACTAACAGTTTTGGTATATAAATAGGCGACTGTTTGCCTGATGTGATGGTCATCTGTAGCGACATATCCTTTGAGATGCAGAGTAGCAGAAGAGAAGAGAATAGGAGCTAATCTGTAAATAAGCGGAGCTAACAGTGCCTAACAGTGTCCTACTCTATACAATTGGATACAGTGTTTGAAATTATTCCCACTTTGAATATAAGCGCCTGCAGTGATAGCGCAGTGACTGTTAGATGTATTGTATGGTGTGGTAAGTGTACGGTAGTATCGGTGCTTTGATTGTGATGGTTGTGTTCATTGTAATGGTATAGTAGTTGTAACCAAATTTGTCACAATTGTCCACAATATGCCATATATTGCATGTATTGCTTGTCTCGCAAAATAAGTCCTATTATTGTTGGATAAAAAAGAGAGTCTATTATAAAGAAGTTTGCAAAAAGTAACTTATGTTAAGCGGAGTGAGTCGTTGTGTCGTACTGTGCCGTACGGACAGGTTATCCCAAAACGCCTTAACTATAAACTAGCGCTTATTTAGTTAGCCAAAGACCCCTATGGTTTATCTTTTGAATATAAGTTGGGTTACGCCCTGTAATCACTTTTTGGTGAACTGCAAAACTTTTCAATTGAATGGCGAATAATAGGTCCCAAACCGCCTAATTAGACACTACACTACTGTACGGCCAACGCTTCAAAAGCAGACAAATTGCCGATTAGATCGCATTCACTTCATTCGCTTCATAACAAGCTTTTGTTGTTATGCTTTCCACTTCTTTCAGGTGATGAACAACCAATTGATGACAACAACGACGAGACCAGAGATTGCAATGCAATATCAATCCATACCATGCCTTCATCGCCGCTATCCATAGATGAGGACAATAGTGGAAGTATTGGCGCTGCAGAAGACGGCCCTAAGAAAAAGCATCGCAGAAATCGGACCACATTTACGACATACCAATTGCATGAACTCGAAAGGGCTTTTGAAAAGTCACATTATCCCGATGTCTATAGGTCTCACTCCACTCAATATTGCTATTAACACAATCTTACGCTTCAAACAAACATTCATTATATTATTATTATCTTTCAGTCGCGAAGAACTGGCCATTAAAGTCAATCTCCCAGAGGTTAGGGTTCAGGTAAACCATTTACTAATTATCACATTAATTAATTTAATTAAACAAATTAGGACTTGTTTTATAAGTTATAAAACTTTAATTTGAATATATTTTAACTAATTTTAATCGCATATTTAAAATTATGCTAAAGCTTACAATTAATTTATCGATTTCATTACAGTTGCATTTGTTTAATCGGATAATAAGTTTAAACATACAACACTTGATTTATATAATTTATTGCAAGTGTTTTACAATTAGTATTTGAATAAAAATTTATACTTTTAAATAAATATCATTCAGATTTAAAAGTGAAATCTGGTTTTTCTTGCAATACAAGAGTTACATTTGAGTAAAAATAAGTGTGCATTTGTATGATTAATATGCTTTTTATGTTGAAACACATTGTTAGCAATATTCTTAACAATAGGATAATATATTTTACATACATCAGTCACTCAATTATTTAATTATATATTATTAATATATTTGGTTTTTACAAACTACAGTATTATCTCTGAGAATATATATATAGAATTTGTTTATGAATTAAAATAAATATGACATAAGTATTACTTTTTGTATTAATTTAACATAATATAAAACAGATTATATAATGGATACTAATTTAATTGGTATGCATTGAAGAATTATATTCAAATTAAATATGATTTAAATTCTTGATTCAATAGAATAGGAATAAACGGAATCTTTAGAAAAGCTAATATTTGAGTTAATTTAGTGAATGTTGTGATTAAAGAATGATTTGATTCCCGACAATAAGATCTAAAGGATGACAAGTCAAGCGCCTAATGAAGTCAGTCATTAGTATACGTCTGCTATAAAAGCCTCCTTTCAAATGAAATCTCAGGAAATTGTATTGAAGTACTATTTTATCGGCACTTTTACTTAAACACTGATTATAGTAAACGCAGTGACGTATCACTCATGACAGGCACTGATGGACATCCTATCTATCGCTATCTATTTTCGAGTTTAAATCTAAACAACAAACAGTTAATAGTTTTAAATCCTAAATAAATGTTTAGTTATTAGAAATGTATATTAAATAGAAATAAAGTCTATTGTCGTTCATATAATAATTCAGATAATATGAACATTTATGAATGTTGAAAATCGCACTCCTGTTTAACATTGAATTCAATGGTTTAAAGTTGCATAACATGTGATTAATTGAAGGATACGCTACCGGCGCTTCATATTTGATATAACAGTGCAGTTGTCGGTGCCGTACAAATGCTTCAATTCAGTTGTCCTCTCCTCTCCTCTTCTCATTACGCTTTCAAAAGCTCTCATTTCTGTTTGAATCTCCAATTAAGTTAGACTTCCATTAAATAAATCAGACATTTCTTATGATTTAACAAATTTATTGTATTTAATATTAATTAAATTAAATGCTTTTATTCTTACTTTTTTAGGTCTGGTTTCAAAATAGAAGTTAAGTATAGTTTTAGAAACTACTGTCAAATGAATGAAAAATAAAATTATGAACGATTTGTAGAATTTTGAGACAAAAAATTTATAAAAATATCACAATTTTAGAGCCAAATGGAGGCGTCAGGAGAAGCTGGAGAGTCAGCACGCGCTCAGAAGTTTGAGTGCCAGTGACTATCACTCAACCAATACTTGTGACAACAATATGGGGAACCCATCGGCGATGTCGTGTTCCCCGCATTCACCCACTTCTCCATCTTTTATCAAGAGATCGACCATTACTTCAGAGAACAGTCTTTCGCACAATTCATTCCTTCCAAACATGCATTCACTCAACTCATCGGCAACTCTACCGCTGGACTCGTGGTTAGCGGCGGCCACTTCTCGATCGCCGTCAACATTACTCAATACAGCCTCTCTCTCCACGTTTCTCTCCCATCCCTCCTCTCTATACCCGAGTTATTTGCTTCAATCGTCGCCATCGGTTCCCGAATCACAACTACTCTCTCATCCGATTTGCAATTCATCGATGGCTCCCATTTCGATGATCACGAGTCCACTGATGAGAGCAAATGCAAACTCTGGGTCGGCATCGGTATCATTGAGTCCATCGGCGAGCCCTCTAAACCTGTCAGTGAATGGGCCGACAAACGACTGCAAAGCGCTTCAAAGTCGGACATCGATTAACGCAAACAACATGAGAGGTATTGAGGAAAACATATCAGTTCCACATTTCGATGACAGGAACTCAAGTATCGTTGCGTTACGTCTTCGGGCCAAAGAACACGTGGAACTAATCAATCAAAGCCTAACTATTGTATAATTAGAGTGCAGTTATTGTCGATTTATTTATTTATTGACACCAAATGTACATTTTTAATGAAACAACACTTCAATTCAAACAATGCAAGCATTTGTTTATTCAATTTGACAGTACTTTCTACACAGTTATTATAATTGTATTATTGATCGTGTGATGAAAATAAAATTCAAATTATAGTGCAATTCGTGAGAATTTACTGTCCCTTTCCTTCAGGAAATGAAATTCACAGAAATTAAGCGAAAATTATGCAAATTTATCTCAACAAACATTTGGTTTAATGCCTTTCCCTTTAAATAACTATATTTTCAATCAGTTTGTACTCATTTGCCGTTTTATGCAAATATTGTATTCTTAATATTCCTAATGTTTAGTATATTATGGACTGAATATTAAATGTATTAGTGATTGAAATACGAAATACAAATACAAGATTAGATACATTATAGACCTTATAGACGGCACTTATAATACTGTGAATGTATTGAAGATTACATTCTGGAAATCACAGAATCACAGCATCCCATATATAACAGCACATCAACTGTAAGGCACTGTAAGGCCAATGCGATCAGCGTTTAGAGTACAGTCACTGTATGTGTGTATGCGTTGAGCTCTCAATATATATCTTTAGTGAAATTTTCATTTCCGTAGCGCTCAGCCAAAGCTCAGCCAAAGCTCAACCAAACGCTTATATATTAACTCAAGTGAAAACACTCTCAACTGTTATTGAAAAATGAAGCCTTCATTCAATAGCCTTTAGGCCAACAAAAATAGAAAGCCTCACAGAATTGAACACAGACTCCGCTCCACACACTCTCTATGCCTAATAATACTCCACATCTCTCTATAGGCCTATCATATTAGAAATATAAACATTAAGACTTTTTTAACTTTCAATTTATTGATAATGGCCTTTATATGTGATTTAGTTTGAGTCAACTCTAGTTAATATAATTGAGCGCTAAATCTAATTATCACTAATACTGGTGTACCTGTTGTTCAAATCAATTCTCGGCACCCATTGGACCAAAACTCTCGCTTATTGTGTATTATTGTGTTATTAAATTTGATTTCATTTCAATTCAATTTATTGCAAACACAAAAGAGGCGATAAAAGATTTGCACAACTTTTTTATACATTTTCCCAATGCATCGCTTTGTTAGAGCTCTGAAACACAACTTTAGGCTTAAATATTTTAAACAGAATTTAATAATATTAATATTATTCATATATTTAATACATAAAAAGCAAAATTTATGAAATCGATTATCTAAGCAGTTGTTTGGACTCAATCTTCTTTTGCTTCTCAATCCTAAAAAAAGTTTGCCATAAATGCTATCAATTCAAGTGTTTATTGCAATTCTTGACTTAAAAATGTTTTTCAAATATTTTCATCTCATGAATCATTTATAGCATGTATTGATTGTATGATTGCATCGATTGTATGGATAGTATGGATGAGAGGCACACGGCGTGAGTGGTATGAGTTGACGACGAGTGCCATACCATTCACTCAAACAGTGTGTTGGAGTGTCCGTTGGACTGGCATTTAGATTGTATAACAATTGACACGATTGTAATCTTGGGTTTGACATTATATTTAACACAAGTTTTGCTCACAAATCGCTGTTTAGAAGAGGATTTGTCTCAATTTTAATGACATGTGTCTGTTAAACACATATCAAACATATCATCCTTTGGTATAATATATGCCAATTCGTGGCAATTCATGAATTCATAGTACGTGCTATCCATACATGTATGCGAACATCGGTTGTCTAATAGATTCATATGAGTTGTGTTTATGGTTTTGAAAACTGGCTATTATTAAGCGGTGTTTAACTTTAATGGACTTCAATTTAGTATTTTATAAACTCTTATCTTTAGAATCAAATAAATAGTGGAAATGAATGTTAACCCGAGTCTAAGCCCGAGTGCATTACAATTGATTTAAGTCGGCTATAGTTTAAGGTTTCAAATGTCATGTGTTGTGGGGAGGAATGGAGACGAGTCCTCAATTGGTGGCACTCTTTGCCGGAATCAACGGACTGTAAAAAAGCGGATTAAGCCATATATGGGAAGATTGTCTCAAAGACCTTCTGTCGCTTCATCATTGAGTCTGTGCTGTAGTATACAGTGCTGTGAGTATTGGCACTATTAGGCTGTTAGACCTCATACCTTATCCACTTCACAAAATGACAAAGAAGTGTCTGAACAGTGCATACAGTGCTGTAATGTAAGGCCTGTATGGCCTGTATCTCAAAGCCAAGAGTGTAAGACCAACAAATTGAGGGCCATTTACGCGTCTTGTACTTTAGCCCTAAATGTGTTGTATTGGCGCCGACACTACCAGCCCTACAACACCGACCCATTCAACCAACACTTAATCTATTCTCGTTTCGAGTGCTCACAAACCCTGCTATAAATGTCGTGAATGTTGTGAATACTGTTTACACCTTTATATTAGAAGAATAGGTTCACTACTTTCCCACTACAGACCACTCATATAATTAATCGATACAATTGTTCACTCAGTTTGTCATCATTTCAATCACATTACATATACTCTTATATAGAAGTGTATAAATTATTCTGTATAAAAGCGCTTCAAAACATACATATAATAATTAACGCACATTTTCTATACATTTTAATTATTGAATATAATTTCAAATGAATACCGAATTGAGTTAATGCAGAAGCAATTGGAAAATTTAATTTATAATTTAAGTCAATATTTGCAAACTTAGTTTTAATCAATTTGATGTTAGGCTTTGCACGCAGTTCTTCATCGATATGGGAATTAGTGGTATAAATGAGTATATCATTTGTCAAATGGACTCAAATGGTAGTCTGAAGAGTACATACGTTTCATATTAGAGCAAAGCTTTTTGTATAAATATCTAAAATGACGAAAATTTGGGCTCAAATATTGACCCTAAGCCGGAAGTCCACCCAATTCTGTGTTTAAGGTTTTTTGATCGGCGCTCGAAGAGTATAGCACTCTATAGTAAAGATAGACTGTATTATAGCTAACATAGCGTTTGAATAGCGTTTTGTTTGGTGAGTGAGCACCTAATGAAACGAATATCTTTCTCATCACTTTTCATCAATTGGTTTGCATTAGTGAAGGCAAAACTCATCGCTTCTTTTGCTTCTTTCACTCACACTATGCTCTCCATAATGCGAGCCCTTTCATGCCTCGATGGCAACATACAGGCGCTCACATACAACACACATACGGCATACACAGCACTCGCACTGCAATCAAATTGAATTGTGTCACTCAAGTGAATGTTTTTCTCCTCCAACTCCTATTCTATCCATTCTTTTGAACACTACTCGTGAGTTAATGTCTCTCAAGATATACACTACACAGCAGTCCGCGTATACACTGTATGTGTGTATGTGTTGTCGTCGAACTGGCCTTACAGTGC